ACCCAAATAACTCCACTGACCTGGATGACCCTGTTAATTTAAATGACTCTGCTAACCAGAATACTACTACTAACCTGGATGCTACTGCTAATCAGAATACCACTGCTAACCCAGATGTTACTGCTAAATAGGATGCCTCTGCTAACCAGGATGCCTTTGCTAACCTGGATACTACTGCTAGCTAGAATGTTTCTGCTAACCAGAATGCTTCTGCTAACTAGAATAACCCTGCTAACACGGATGACCTACTAACCCAGATGCCACTGCTAACTAGGATGCTTCTGCTAACTAGATGCCCTTGCTAACCAGGATTCCCCTGCTAACCAGGATGATCTAGCTAACCAGGATGCCTCTGCTAACTAAAATAATTCCACTAACCAGAATGCCCTTGATAATGACAATTTGGATAATCCTAATAGTGATAATCCAGATGACCATGATAGTGATAATCTAGAAGATACCTCTGATAATGACTATAAAGCTATCGCTAGACCCAATAAACCCCGATATAGTGTATATAATATATGTTCACAATCAAAAAACTTTTCAGGCAGTACAGATAAAGATAGTAATATGTACTGTTTATTTAATTATAACTAAATGAAACTAATCCTAGTTTTTGAATTTGACAAAAAGCATATCAACAGGCTGCCTTTAATAAATTTAGTAATATTAAAGGTATGTCAAAAAAGGTTGTTGATGAAAAAGGTAAATCAAAAGAGGTTGTTAATGAAAAAGGTAAATTAAAAGAGGTTGTTGATGAAAAAGATAAATCAAAAGAGGTTGTTGATAAAAAAGCTAAATCAAAAGTTGTTGATGAAAAAGGTAATTCAAAAGATGTTGTTGATAAAAAAGGTAATTCAAAGAAAATAGGTATGTATTGGCTAGTATTATAAACCATAAGATTTTTATTAACTTGCTAAGCCAGCCAGTAAAAAAAATCAGCTAAGCAGCTGGCTAATGGCTAAGACCAAATTTTTTCTTTAGAAATTATCAAATATTTAAATTTTTTTTATTATCCTTACTTGTATTTTATGTTCAATCATTTTCATTTCAAAATTTTTCAGTTTTACATACTTCAAACCTCTCTATAGTAACACCCTTAGTTTTAAGATTTTATATAGAGGTTAAATTTTTTTTAAAAATTTGTGATTATAAGCAAATATAACTATCGGGAAATGATGATAGAGAGGTCTGACTATATTTCTTATTAATTAATTCTGTCTGGCATTATCACTTCAGCCTAAATTATACTATTAAATTATGTGATTTTAAGCAGCATTAGCTAGCCAATACTAATATATTGGCTAGCTAAGCTGGCTAAATTGCTTTAGCCGTGCTGCTCTAGCTGGCTTATAATACTAATTTTAGCTAATTTTTATACTAATATATTAAATTGCAGTTAACTTTTACAAATTATTATTTATTGTATATATTTTTCTGATATTAGTAAATCCAACACTCTATCAAAATCCTTCTCTAATATCAGAAGGTAAAACTATATTAAGTTGTCAGGAATCTAATATATCATTAGATAATTAGATAAAATACATTAATTAATGCATAATTCAAATTATTAATTTTGTTTTCTATATAGGTGGATCTGATAGTATTAACCATCAAGTTCCCAATAATGAAGTTGCAGAGACATTTGCAAACTTTATAGAATTTCTAAAAAGCTTGTTAGAGCCAGAAAAAGTAGAAGAGGAAGAAGTAGAAGAGGAAGAGGAAAGTGAAGAGTAAAATAATCTGGCCTTCTAGCTTTTTTTTTAAATTATATATATATAATTTTATAAAATTTAAAAAAATTTAAAATTTAACCCAGCCGGATTATAAGAAACATTTAATTAAATTTGTATAGTCTTACATATTTGTATTATTGAAAAATATAATATAAACAATATATGTATATAAAACTTAATAAATAAATTGTTGTTTAATAAAAGCTATATATACTGTATATTGCCATAACACTATGTATATCGGGAGTTAAAAGTGAATATAATTTTATACTTTGTATACCAATTTATATGAAGTTAAATATCAGGATAGTAAAAGAAGAGAAAAAATGTATATAATTATTTACCTTTAGTATACCTTTATTCATCTAGAGTGTTATTAGCATGTAAGTTAAATATTGAAATAGTAAAAGAAGAGAAAAAATATATATAATTATTTTACCTTTAGTATACCTTTATTCATCTAGAATGCTATTAGTATATAAGTTGAATATCGGGATAGTAAAAGAAGTGAATAAACTTATATAATTATTTTACCTTTTGCATATCTTTATTTATCTAGAGTGCTTTTAGCATGTAAGTTAAATATCGGGATAACAAAAGAAGTGAATAAACATATATAATTATTTTATCTTTTGTATACCTTTATTTATCTAGAGTGCTATTAGCATGTAAGTTAAATATTAGGATAGTAAAAGAAGAGAAAAAACATATATAATTATTTTACCTTCAGTATACCTTTATTCATCTAGAGTGCCATTAGCATGTAAGTTGAATATTGGGATAGTAAAAGAAGAGAAAAAATGTATATAATTATTTTACCTTTAGTATACCTTTATTCATCTAGAGAGCTATTAGCATATAAGTTGAATATCAGGATAGTAAAAGAAGAGAAAAAATATATATAATTATTTTACCTATTGTATACCTTTATTCATCTAGAATGCTATTAGCATATAGGTTGAATATTAGGATGATAAAAGAAGCAAAACATATAGAATTATTTTACCTTTTGTATATTTTTATTCATCTAGAATGCTATTAGCATGTAGGTTGAAAATCAGGATAGTATTAGGAAACAAAAGGCATACTATTTTGTATCCAAAATCTATCTTTTAATTAATTATAATGCTGATATCTATTAGTTTACCATTATTCTTTTTTCAGAATGCATATTGGGTAAATAATGGGTCAATAAAGGTATATTCTATTATTTAACCATTATTTATATATTTGACCTATATATCTTTATTAAACTTATTTATAATTTAAAATAAAAAAATTAAATTTTTGAATTTTATAGTTAAATTACTTTATAATCACATACTTAATTTTATGAATTTAGTAATTATAAAAAGGTTGTACTTATATAGAGGTTAAATTTCATAAGTATTATATAAGTTGATTTTAAAAATTTATATAATTATAGTGATTAAACCTACCAGAATGGCTATAGCTTATCTAGATTTCTGAAGTAATTAAGTTGTTTAATTTGTAATCTGAGTAAAGGAAAGAATATAATAATAATTAACAAAATACATTTTATATCAAATAATCAATATCTATAATCTGAAGCTACAATTATATTTTTTCAGTTTTTGTTAAGTTAATATTTTTTGGTTTTCTAATAAAAATTGCAAAGAATATTTTTCTCTTTTTAATAATGATAAAACTATCAAAAGTAATTTAATAGATCTTAAGATATTGCTATTTTCTTCTTTGAGATTATATAAAATTTTTTTACAGATTTGCAATAAAATTTTATATGATCATAAATTAGAAAACCAAAAATATTAACTTGACAGAAAATAATTTTTACTTCAGATTATAGATATTAATTGTTTTGATATGAAATGCACTTCACTAATTATTAATTATATTCTTTTCTTTACTTATAAATTACAAATTAAACTATATTGATATTTAATCTACTTTGAATACCATAGTTTGAATTTGGTACTCACAATAATAAAAAGTGCTAATTAGATGATAAAATTTGTAATATCAAAGTTATAGATAAAGTATGGGTTGATAGCTTAGTTTTTGCTTAAAAAGCATAATATAGTATTTAGCAGTCTTTGTAAATTTGTTAATTTAGATATAATAAAGTTGGACTCTAAGTTTAATCAAAATTTTGTTTAATAAAGTAATGTTTTTAATTAAACTAATTAGATTTTATAAAATAAAACTAATTATTATTGAAAACAAGGATAAAATATTAGAATTATTATATATTTGCATATTATTAAAGTTTATAATCATGAGTATAGAATTGTCATAGATTTAGTTGATATGTCAAAAGTAGTGGTTTAAGAATATGCAAAAAGATTTGTAAATAAGAGTTTCTAAGTGATAAGAATTTAAGCATATTAGTTAGTAGAATGCTATTCTAATTTGATTGCATTTATAATAATTTAATGAATATAATGAATAATATTTATAGAGAACATATAGAGTAGATAGCTTATTAAATAAAATTTTAATTCTAAAGAATTTAAGAATGAATAATTAGAAGCTATATAAATAGTTTAATATCTTTTAATTATTATTAATAAATTACAAAGTAGCATTCAGGTTAGTAGTAGTATTCTGGTTAGCAGAGTCATTTAAATTAACAGGGTCATCCAGGTCAGTGGAGTTATTTGGGT